CCACCCCACATATAAAGTAGAGGAAGATGGGCACAGATGTTAGCTCAGGGCCAGTCATTCTCAGCAAAAAGAGGAGGATTGGCAGCAGATTTTAGCTCAGGGCTAATCTTCCTCAAAAAAAAAAATACATAAAAATTTTAAAAAGATTTTTTAAATCATGATGAGTAAACATGATACCTGAGGTTACGTAATTTTCTTTTTTAGTGAATATTTCCCACATAAGTCATTTTAGACTAACTACACAGCAAGGCCAATTGGTTAAAAAGTAAACACATCGATCAGATTTTTTCTCTGTCAAATGATGTAATGGAAATAATTTCCTTGGTGCCACAAACACATTTCTTCATTTTATTAGTTTAAAAAATTAGTCATGGCATTAAGATCAAACTTATAACTCAAAATAACTCAGCCTTTTTGTCTTATAATAGGATAACTTCTGCTAACCTTTTTTCCTAATGAGCAAGCATATTATTCACTTAGGGAAAGTTGATCATGTTAGCTTTTTTGTTCTTTTGTGTTGATGAATTGCAGATTTTTAAGACCCTGTTACAGAACCTGAAGTAAGTTTGCTCACCCATTGTGCAGCAAGCCAATCTCTGACAGCGGGTGTGGTGGAAGAAAGTAGGAATTTTATTTTTGCACAGCACTGAGCAAGGAGACAGGGCAGCTAATGCTTAAATCCCAAACTCTCCGAAGAGCTAAAAGGAAGGGTTTTTATTTGGGGTTTTAGGTAAGGGAGGGGAAGTCTATGGCCTTGCTGGTCGGAGCTTTCCCACCAGCCTGTCTTTGGCCTTGAGACCGTTTGCAGAGAGGAGGAAGCCTGTGACTTTGCCGGTCAGCAGCTTTCCCATGAGCCTGTATCTCTCTGCCTGGAGGAGATAATCCAGGTGCTTGTCCTTGACGGTGTCTGTCTCCATGGAGGATAGTGGATTCTGGAGCCAGGAAGCCAGAGAGTAAGCAGGGAATGAGTGTTTTGGTTTTAACCCCATATATTCTGGGTTTAATGTGGGGAAACTGATATCCGCGTCAGTATCAACCCCGTACTTTTATGACATAATTTTCTGACCTCGATTTTACTTCTCAGAATACAACACGGTAATAAGTAATGGAATCATTTGTAAGGCTTTTATAAGGTACACTTAAAGAATGAGATAAAACATATTATGTGATTTTCTACTAGAGCTTTGTATTCAGTAGGATTGCATATCAATTGGATTGTTTTTAATCTGTGAATTATGTCTTTACCTTTTTGTGGGTGAAAATATTTAAGTTCTACTCTTTTAGTAAATTTCAGTTATGAACAATACAGTATCATTGACTATAGCGACCATGTTATACACTAGATCCACAAACTTTATTCATCTTATAACTGAAAATTTGTACTCTTTTACTAGCCTCTTCACTATTTTCTCCACCCCCAGTCCCTGGCAACCATTTTTCTACTCTTTGTTTCTATGAGTTGGATTTTTTTTTTTTTTTTTTTAGATTTTATATATAAATGTTACCATGTAGTTTTTGTCTTTCTTCGTCTGGCTTATTCACTTCACATAATGCCTTCTCAGTTCATCCTTGTCACAAATGACAACAGTTCCTTTTTCTTATGGTTGAATAACAATCCATTGTATACATAGCCACATTTTCTTTATCCATTCATCCATTGATAGACACTTAGGTTGTTTCCATACCTCGTTATTGTGAATAATGCTGCAATGAACATGGGAGTACAGGTATCTCTTGGAGATAATGGAGTCATTTCCTTGGGATATATGCCCACAAGTTGGATTGTTGGATCATAAGGTACTTTCCATTTTTAATTTCTTTAAGAATTATAGGTAAACATTCCCTCTTTCCTTGATACAAGATGAGGAATGATAAAAATAATTCTATTTGATACAAACTAGGTCATGTAGATATAATGTTTTCTTTCTTTTGATGTTCATGTGTCATTTAAGATTTTTTTTGAGGAAGATTAGCCCTGAGCTAACTGATGCCAATCCTTTTTTCTTTTTTTTGCTGAGGAAGACTGGCCCTGAGCTAACATCCATGCCCATCTTCCTCTACGTTATATGTGGGATGCCTACCACAGCATGGTGTGCCAAGCAGTGCCATGTCCGCACCTGGGATCTGAACCTGCGAACCCCAGGCTGCCGAAGCGGAACATGCAAACTTAACCGCTGCGCCACTGGGCTGGCCCAAGATGTTCTTTTAAAAGCCTACTTTTTCGGCCACTCCCACTTTTTGGTTAACTTAGATTTTCAAAAATTATCTTTCTCTTCCCCCTACATAGTTAGACTTGGGCTTTTGTCATTTACCACAAATATTACTATTAAAATACAGACAATTAATTATAATTGGAGGATGAATCAATGAATAATATTTCAATCTCTGCCATGGTGATATAGTTCAATATTGTTTAACCTGTTAGCCTTCCCAGAGACATTTTTTTTTCAGGGGATATCTAAATAACTTATTTATGAATAATCAAATTGAATGCAGGAATTTTAAATACTAACGCAGAGAAATTGAGACAAAGATGTTTGGGAATTGATGATCATTGTGACAGTTACAATAAGGTTGAAAATGGAGTCATTCTTCTGAATAATTAGTGACAAATATCATTAAATATCTATTGTTAATGGGATTATTATTTTAGAATTTTTTCCACTATAATAGAAATGACATTGAGAGTAAAGGAAAAAGAGTATGAAATCCCAAAATTTAGCAATCTTGTTTAAAAGTAGAACTTAAACATCTAAGATACTCTCAACAAGGTCTAAGTTTTTAGTGTTTGTGATTGAGATGGAAGCAAGTTAATACCACAAATGATGAAGGCTGTCCCTTGATATCTTTTAGAATATAAAAACCATTTCTCAGAGGCACTTGCTGATGGACTCACTACAAGCTCCGTCTCCTCTATTCTGACAGTGTGTGAGGAGATAAAATGCCTTCAAAATAGCCCAAGTGTAAGAATTTCCTGTTCAAACCATAAGTACCACATTGATGAGAAATCTACTTTGTCCACTGTCTCCACTCTGAGCCTTCACAGGGCAGTCTGTGAAGACCACAGCTATCGTTTGCTTGAAAGTGTAACCTCGTCTCCAACTAGAGAATGCACGACTCTCTGGCCAACAGAGGTATGTGACATTACTCTCCTTTCTCTCTACTAGCCCTTTCTCATTTAGTGAGAGGTTACAAATGCTACATATGATGCCACAATTAATATGTAATCAAATCAAAAAGAAAATCAATATCTTTATTTGAATAATTCAGGGCCAAAAACAAGCATAAAATATGAAATATTTTGAAGGATTTCATAAATATTGAAATTCTTGCCTGCAGAGAACTAGTCAAGTGCATACACATATGCATAATTAGATTTATAAATCAATATAATTTAAGGAAGAATCCCATAAGGATCATGACAATGAATAGCTAATGTATATCTTATAATCAGTATAGATATTATTTTATATTTAGCCAGCTTTTAAAAATAGATTCTTAAGATGCTCTCATCCTAAGGTGAAACATAATCCTCCATACACTTATTTAGAAACAATAAAAGTAGTGCGATTTTTAATAAAAATCAGAATGAAGTATTTCCAGAAAATGCTGATTTAAACTAATTATAAAAAATCAAAAGACTTTAAAAAATTGACCGAAACATTGCAAAAAAAAAAAAGGGTACCACACTGATAAAGAGACTCCTGTCTAATGAATTGTTATATTGTCTAACTGATACGGTTCAGAAATAATAAATTGGTAACTGTTAAAACAATAATTAAAATAACTAACATATTATTGAGACGTTATAATGCCAGACTATTAAGTGTTTTACATGCATTATATCATACATATATTTATTCTCATTTTAGGTTATAAAACTAGGTTTCTAGTTTTATAGCAACTTTTTCTTTTTAAAGATTTTATCTTTTTCCTTTTTTCTCCCCAAAGCCCCCTGGTATATAGTTGTGTATTCTTAGTTGTGGGTCCTTCTAGTTGTGGCATGTGGGATGCCGCCTCAGCATGGTTTGATGAGCAGTGCCATGTCTGCGCCCAGGATTCGTAACAACGAAACACTGGGCCGCCTGCAGCAGAGCGAGGGAACTTAACCACTCGGCCATGGGGCCAGCCCCCTAAGCAACTTTTTAAAGATCACATGTTGTAAGTTTCAAACCCAGAATTAATTCCAGATCTAACTGACTACAGAGCTCATTAACTGAATTATTAAATTGCGTTATCTGATTTATTACAATTGCTTGCACAACTTAAGCTGCACTTACTGACTTTGACAGCTGTAGAATCTTTCTGCAAGTTTGCACAAACTGTGTTCTTCCATAAATATCTACACTTTTATCATTTTATGGTTTCATATCTTCGCTGTTAAATCAATTGCCAATTACTTGTGCAAAATAATATTTTTCTAAATTCCTTTTTATATTGTTTTGTTTTCCTTATTTATTAGGTTTTGGATAAGTTTAGCGTGTCATGTATAAGTGTTAAACATATAAAATATTTCTTTAAAATCGTAATGGTTCCTCAAAAATACACAATTATTCAAAATAAAACATCACTTGGTAACACCTCATCCACTTTTAATAAAGAAATGTAAGTCACTAAATAAAAGTAATTTAGTGCAGGAATTACTGTATATGCTAACACTACTATTCCCGCAACTTTAGAACACTCAATCTTTAACCATTAACATGTTTAAAAATTGGTGCTTTTTTTTCCCAATGCAGCATTTTAATTTTAACAGTTATTCTAATACTGTTAAAGTGTTTCTGTGGAATCCGACTTTAAATTAATAAGGATATTATTATGCATCAACTTCTTTATTCCTCTCTAATTTATTGCTCTTCATTACTCGAACCAAGAATATTGTGTCAAATATAGTATATCATTTTAAAAACTATCTGAGCAACCCTATCATGAAACACTTATGTAAACCCTAAGGAAATTAGAACGAGACTTTTACATTGTTCAACTGCAGAATGAGTACTATTACTCACCCCACACTCATTTGACGATACTAGAGATCTCGTCATTGTATACATCATCTATTAACTAAAGTTATCATTGAGGACAGCCTTTGTCATTAGTCAGCTGCAGAGATGGATAACCAAAGAGAAAACTGTTCAGAACTGAAACCGGTTATGGACTCAAGGAGATATCAAATGAAAGGTAAGAACACTAAGATCCATTTCAGTAACTGAACAGGAAATAACTTATGTGGAATTAAACCTTCAAAATGTTTCTAGGATCTTCAAGAGAAAGACAAGAATGACCACTACAAAGGTAAAACATTTGATAGACACACAGTATAACTGTTCTAGGATGTGCAGCTGGGGTGCAGAGGTTTGGGAAAAGGGTAGAGAATAAGCTCAGGTAGTTTTTATTTGTGAGGATCAGAGCTTGAAGCAGGAACACAATATTCTAAGATGAAATCTGAGGACTAATTTTTTTCAAGCATTGTTGTAATTTGTAGTCTTTGACCAACAATTCCTGGAGGATTACATTTGCTGAAAATGCTGTAGAATATTCTGAAAGAAAGATTACAATGGTAGATATGGGTTTTGGATCCAAGTTTTCTGTATGTGATCCCCTGTGAATGTGGGTTCTCTTGTATGTAAACTGTCTAAACAAATGCCTCCCTCTCTCCTTTCTCAGTGTTTTGATTTCTCTCCCTGTAGATTTACCACCATCTCCAGAGAAGCTAATTGCTGGGATCTTGGGAATCATCTGCCTTGTCTTAATGTACACTGTAGTACAAATGATACTCTTTAGTCACTGTAAGTAAATTTTGAAAAATTATACGAAGATTTTTCACTTTATTGATGGTCAGTGCCTCTATCCATTTCATAATATTGTGATATAGAATTCTCATTTTAATGTATGCATTTAGACTAAGTGTAGAATGAATATTCTGAATTTGTCAAATTATAAATAACAGGATGGTTGCAGAGAGTATTATACATAAATATATATATATATATCTGATTTCTTAACTCAAAGACATGCTTTAGGAGACTGAACAACCTTATTGAGAAACGTAAATTAATTCTTGAGATTGGTTAAACCAAGTAATGCAAAAGATGGTGAAGTTGGTCCTTTAGGATTTTGAAATATTTTTCCCCCAATCTTCGTTACTTCATTAGTTTTTTGGTAAAGTCATATTTTTCCAGATTATTCTAATTCTAAACAATACATCAATTTCAAGGTAAGAAACTAAAATTATTATGAGTTATTTAGATCAATCAATATTAATTTTTGTAATAATTACTTTAATATTTCTAGCTACTGTAATCTTGGAGCGGAATAATTCATCCCTGATAACAAGGAGCCAGAAAGGTATACAATAATTTTCAAAGTTCTGATATTAGTATAGTTTTTATTTTGTCTCTATCTTACGCTAGTGAAGAGTGATAATAGATTTTTTGGGGACAGTGAATTGTCAGGTAACAAATATTCATAAAAATGATGAGAGTAGAGTATTCCTTCTTATGCAACAATATGAAGATATATTCATTTAAAATCACAATACCCATTGTTTTAGATTGGCCTAAATTTTCTACTGATAAGAGATAACACTACTACTCTAAAAAGTGGTTTTGTTTATTGAATTTCAGGACATATGTAGAGTGAATATTTTTGTGCATTTACTTTTTATGAGCATATAAATTAGGGGATGAGAGGCTGACCCTTCTCTGTACGTGTGTGTATGAGTGTGATCTGTTTTATATATACAAGCCTGTGAGTTTGAATAGGTGTTATGTACATATATGTTTCTACCTATGGAAATATGTAAGTTAATTTTCATTTATTAAAATTCAAATTGTTTTTAGATAATAATTCATAACCTTTCTTCAGCACATCATTGTCGTCGTTGTCCAGAGGAGTGGTTAACCTATTCCAACAATTGCTATTTCATTAGTATTGAAAGAAAAGCATGGAATGAGAGTCTGATGGCCTGTACTTCTAAGAACTCTAATCTGCTTTATATAGATAATGAAGAAGAAATGGTAAGGTTGTTAATGTTTTTAACATTTTATTAAAAGCAAATTTCAGTTAATGTGGTATTTGTAGGTCATCCATAACTTTGTACATATTTGTAGTTTTTATTTTAAAGTCCGTTACTATTCCATAGTTGGACTTAATAATATTTTACTTATATGTTTATATCACTAATGTGCATTTAATAATTTCCAGGTCTCACTTTTCATAGAAAAGCTGTTTTGAAAAATGCCTTTTGTTCTAAAATAAATTTTACTGTTCAATTTTACCATACATCAAGGAAACTCAACATATCACAATTGTTCAGGTTGATTACAAAGTGAATAGAACCATGTAATTACAAATAAGGTCATGAAATAGATGTCCAGACCTCCAGCAGCCCCACCCCTGAGTACTGTCATCACTTCTCTTCCCTCCTCACTTAGCCACTATTCTGATTTTTAATATTATAAATTATCGTTGCTTATTTTTAAACTTTATATAAATGGGACATTCAGTATACATTTTTATATGTGTCTCCTTTTACTCCCACATGATATATAGCAATTCATTCATATTATTACATTTATCTTAGTTCATTAATTTTCACTTCTGTATTATGTTATATTAATGTGACATTTTTAATCTATTCTGCCGAGATAGAAATTTAGTTGCTTTTTAATATCTAGCTATTATAAATGCCTATATAATGAAAATCCTCGTGTATGTATTTTCCCATGTATATTGTTTTTGTAATTTATGTATTATATACAAATGAATCAGATATAATAAACTATATTATAGAATATAAATATACTTACAATAATATAATAATAATTTACAAATACACTTACATTATTTAATTGTATTTCTGTATAGTTATAATATATTATCCTCTGCACCATAGTGAAATTGCAGGGTCATAAATATATGTATATGTCAAATTTATTAAATTATTTCCAAATTTTTCTAGTTTGTTGTGTAAATACACATTTTACTCAATGGTCCCTTGATCCAAAAACTTAGTACTCTCAGAAATTCATATTGTAAGTTCTGATTGTTATATAATTATCTTGATCACTTTAAAAAGCATTTTCCTGAGAACTGTTAAATTCAACACATTTTTCTGGACTCTTAATCACTAGGATAGTCTCTTTTGTGAGAATGAGAAGTGCCTGTTCGTGTCTCTTGCCCATTTCTCCTATGTGGTGTCCATCTTTTTCCTTCTTAGAACTTCTTGTTATACTTTGGATATGAGCTCTTTTTTGATTTTATGAGATGTAAATAGCTTTTTTGACTCTGTGACTTACAGTTTTACCCTCATATTGGAGTCTTTTAATGGCCAGAATTTTTTTAACGTTATAAAATATTATTCCTGGGAAGAATAGGGAAAAGTAGTATCCACTCCTCTTTTCAGAACAGGAAGTCTGATCTGTACCAGTTTTAATTTGAATTTTCCTGAGACTAATAGTGTTGAACATGTTTTCATGTATTTATTTATTTGCAATCCATGTATCTTTTTTGGTGAAGTATCTATTGAAATATTTTCTTTTTTGGTTTGTATTTTGAGAGTTCTTTATGTGTCCTTGTTCAAATCTTTTATCAGATATCTGGTTTGCAAATATTTTCTCCAAGTTTACTACTTGAAATCTCCACCTAACCCAAGGTTGTGTAGGTTTTTCTAATATATCTTTTTGAAGTTTTGTTGTTTACACTTTAGTTTATGACCGCTTTTCAGCTTATTTTTGTATATAGTGTGAGGTATGAATAAAATTATTATTTATTTTTTATTTTGCATATCAACAGCCAATTGTTTCTGCAACATTTGTTGAAAAGACTTTAATTTCCTCATTGAATAATTTTGCATCTTTGTTGAAGTCTGCTTTCTATAAATGTGTGGGTATAGTATCGCAATTTCTAACTTCTTTCATTAATCTAGTTATCTGTTTTTATGCCAAATCCATACTTTAAATGCTGTGCTTTTTTTTTTTACAGTAGGTGTATATTAGTTCTTCTTTTTAAAAGCCATCTTGTCTATTCTAAATCTTGCATGATGTTTCCTTTTTTATTCCTATCTTTCTAAAAGATTCTATTGCTTCTTCTCAATGCAAGTATGAATGTCAATTTTATTAAATGCCTTCTGTAACAAAGTAATCATATTTTTTCTTCTTTATTCTGTTAATGTATTGGATTAATTTTATGGAATTTCAAATGTAAATCCAACCTAATACTGCCTCAATAAATCCACTTATGTCATAGTCTGTTATTTTTATATATTGCTGGAATTCTTAATAACTATGTATAATTGCTGCTGGTATGTAATTTCCTTTTTTGTGTGTGATATGCCCATCAAAATGCATGTACCACACACATTTTATTAGCCTCATTCATCTTCGTGGATGTGTTTTCACTCTTCTCTACCCTACAAGAGATTTTGTAGTATTAGAATTATATTTCTCATTGTAAATATTGCTTACATCAACATTGAATTGATCTGCAACTGAGTGTGGAAATTTTTTTGATATTTATAGATAAAATTCTATTAGAAGTTGTAAGACAATTCTGGTATCTTTATTTCTTTTTGTTTTAGTTTTCACAAGCTGTATTTGTTAGGATTTTTTCCATTTTATGTTTATTTTAAGATGTGTTTACATATTTTTATAACATTCTCTTAGGATAGTGGTATTGAGTATAATATACATACAAATGGATGCGCTTGTTATATATACCAACAGACTGCAGAATTTTCATCAAGTGTAACTATAATCTAGAATGAGAAAATGAGTTTTGCAAGCACTAAAAAATGACCCCCTCCTGTTCTTTTCTGCAAAAAATAATAATTTATAGATATGGAATCATGTAGTATATATTCTTTATTTTTGGCATTTTCAGGAAAGCTAAACTTGTGAGATTCACCCATATTTTTGCACGAAATTGTAGATGGTCCATACCTCCTTGGTGCCATTGTCTAATTATACTATAATGCACTTATCCATTCTATTGCTGATGCTCAAGGGTATTTTGAACATTGTTGCATTTGGAGCTACCATGAGTTATTCTACTGTACAGATTTCAGCGTAAACTTTTGACTAAAAATATATTTATCATTTCTTCCTTCTATAACTTTAATTGACTCTTCCTTTTATAGCTTCTTGAGAGGGAAGCTTCTCAGATCATTCATTTTAGAATGTTCTTCCTTTTGAACATGAGACAGAGATATGAATTGTCTCTAAGTACTACTTTAGTTCCAACCTAAAATTTTTATATATTCTCATTTTATTATCATTCATATCTGTGCCCATCTTCTAACATCTGTGCCAATCTTCCTCTATTTTGTATATGGGATGCTGCCACAGCATGGCTTGATGAGTGGTGTGTAGGTCCACACCTGGGACCCGAATCTGGGAATCCCCAAGCCACCAAAGCAGAGTGCACGAACTTAACCACTATGCCACCAGGCCAGCCCCATCACCTATTTCTGCCTTTGAATCTGAAGTCTGTTTGTTATAGAAAACATATAGATGGATCTTACTTTTTTATTCAGTATGACAATTTCTATCTTTTGATTGGAATGTTTATTCATTCACATTTAATGTAATTATTGGTATAGTTGGATTTAGGTCTGCTGTTTTATTATTTATTCTATGTTTATATCTCTTGTTCTTTCTTCCACCTTTCCTGACATCTTTTGTGTTAAATACATATTATTTTAGTGTTCCAATTTAATTCCTTTATTGATAGTTTGACTATATTTTTTTAATTATTTTCCTAGTAGTTGCTGAGGATGTTACAATTATATCTTTAACTGTTCACCATCTACTCAAGTTAATTCTGACTAAATTCCAGTAAAATATAGAAACTTAGCATCAACATAGCTCCATTTTGTCTCTGCCTCCTTTGTTATCTTACGATTGCTTCTAACAGTGCTGTACTGAAGCCAGCTAGCACAGGTTTGTGAACACTAATTATACACATCCTTTCTAGCACTGCATTCATTATTTCACATTCGTCAGTTGAAATGAACCATTCTAGGTGTCTTTGCAAGACAGAAATCTACAAATGTTAAAAAATAAGGTTTTACTCCCCTCACCCAAAGGCATCCACTTACCAGCACAAAGTATCACCCATATATGTTATAGACCCAATCATACAGTATTATAATGATTACTTTAAATAATCTTATTTTTAGAAGAAATTCAGAGAAGAAAACACACATACACAAAAACCCTTATTTACCCACATATTTACCATTTCTGCTACTCTTCATCCCTTCTTATGGATATGAGTTATCCTCCAGTATCATTTACTTTTAGCCCGAAGAATATTTTTGGAGGGCAGGTCAGTTAACAAGAAAATCTGTTTTGTGTATGCTGTAAGATCCTATTTCATCTTCTTTATTGAAGGATTCTTTTGCTGAATTTAGAATTCTTGTTTGACAAAGCTTTTTTTTTCTTTGCAGTACATTCAGCTCTTTGAGTATGTCATTCCCCGCCTTCTATTCTTCATTGCTTCTAATGAGAACGCATCTGCTAATTGTATTGTTATTTTCTTATATGTAATGGATGGTTTTTCTCTTGCTGATTTTAAGATTACCTCTTTCATGTTTTTTTTGCTTTTTATTTTATTTTTCAAATTTTGTAGTAAAAAAAGAACACATAACATAAAATTTACCTTACGACCCATTTAAAAAAAATAACTATATTTTCTAAGAGCAGTTTTAGGTTTCCAACTAAGTTGAGACAAGGTACAGAGATTTCCCATACACTCCTACTGTCTACACATGCATAGCTTCTCCCATTATCAATATCTCCCACCAGAGTGGTACATATGCTACAATTGATGTACCTATGTTGATACATTTTTATCACCCAAAGATTGTAATATACATTAAGGTTGACTCTTGGTGGTGTACATTTCATGAGTTTGAACAAAAATATAATGACATGTATGCACCATTATAGAATTATAGAGAATACTTTCACTGCCCTAAAAATCCTCTTTGCTCTACCTATTAATTGTTCCCTTCCCTCTAACCCTGATAATCACTGATCTTTTTACTGTCTCCATGCTATTGCCTTTTTTAGAATGTCATAAAGTTTACTCATACAATATCTTTCATGTTATCCATTACATTTTAACTATATCATACATCTTAACCATTTTTAAGTGTACCGTTTATCATTGTTGACTATATTTGCCTTGCTGTGCAACAGTTCTCTAGAACTTTTTCTCCTCATAAAACTGAAACTCTGTACACATTGACCAATAATTCCCCTTGGTCCACTAAACCCCCAACCCTTAGCAGTAACCATTCTACTTTCTGTTTCCTTGAGTTTGTCTACTTTAGACACCTCATATTATTGGAATCATTTGGATTTTTTTGTGACTGGCTTATTTCACTTAGCTTAATAGCCTGGAGTTTCATCCATGTTGTATTATGTGACTAGATTTCCTTCTTTTTAAGGCTGAATAATATTGCATTATATATATATATATACTATATTTTCTTCATCCATTCATCCATCAGTGGAAATTTGGTTGCTTGTACATCTTGGTTATGGTGAATAATTCTGCAATGAACATAAGTGTGCAAATATCTCTTTGAGATCTTGCTTTTGATTCCTTTGGATATATTTTCACTTGTGGGATTGCTGATTCATATGGTAATTCTATTTTTAATTTTTTGAGAATATTCCATGCTGTTTTCCATAATGGCTGACCAATTTACATTCCTACCAACAGTATACAAAGGTTCTTTTTTCTCCACATTCTCCTCAGTACTTGTTATTTTCTGAGTTTTTTATAGTAGCTGTCCTAATGGGTATAAGGTGATATTTAATTGTGGTTTTGATTTTCATTTCTCTAGTAATTAATGATATTGAGCATATTTTCATGTTTGGTCATTTGCACATCTTCTTTGGAAAATTCTCTGAATTTGCCCAATTTATAATTGGGTTATTTGGTTTTAAATTGCTGCACTACAGAGGTTCCTTATATATTTTGGATATTAACTCCTTATCAGATATGATGTTTAAATATTTTCTCCTATTCTGGACCTTGTCTTTTCACTCGTGATTGTGTCCTGTGATGCAGAGTGTTTCAGTTTGATGTAGTCCCATTTGTCTACTTTTACTTTTGTTGCCTGTGCTTTTATTGTGCATCCAAGAAATCATTGCCAAATACAGTGTCATTACCTTTCCCAGCATGTTTTCTTCCAGGAATTTTAGGTCTTATGTTTAGGTCTTTAATCCATTTTGAGTTACCTTTTGTATATGGTGTAATGTAAACTTCCAGCTTCATTATTTTGCATGAAAATAGTCAGCTTTCCCAGCACCATTTATGGAACATGCTGTCCTTTCTCCATTGAATGTTCTTGACACCCTTGTAGAAAATCATTAGACCTTAGAAAATCATTATAAATGGGTTTATTTCTGGATATATTGTTGAGTTGTTGTTTCTGTGAGGGAATGAGGGCCTGCGGCTTCCTGTTCCTCGATCTTGCTAATGTCACCCCCCTCCAATGTGGAATAGTTTTCAGGAAAATGTGGATTTTGTGTGAGGTAATTTGACCTATGTGTTGCTAGAGGTGGGAAATATCTCACTCATTCTCTGATTGGCACATTGACTGAAGTCATAACAATCCTGCCTGTTCCCTCAAGATTACTTCTTTGTCTTTGTCTTCAAATGTTCTTCATTCATTTGATTGTGCTGTCTTGAGATGTGGATTTCAATATGCTGAGTCTATTAGTATTTGCTGAGCCCTTTGGGTCTATAAATATTTTTAAATTCAAAATTAAGAAGTTATTCATTCATTGTCTTATAATTATTTTTCTGTCCTTTTCTGTCTTTCTTCTTCTTCTCAGTCTATATTTACACCCATATGGGTTTTCTTAATACTGTTTCAAAAGTCTCTGAACTGTGTTAATTCTTCTCAGTCACCTTCTGGGATGAATAATTTCTATTACTCGATCCTCAATTTCATCAGTTCTTTTTTCTGCATCTCAAATTTTCTGTAGAATCAATTTAGTGAATTGTTCATTTCAGGTAATGTATTTTTCAACTAAGCATTTCTGTTTGGTCCATTTATAGTTTGTATTTCTCTATTGACATTTCCTACTGGTTTTGTCACTGCCATCGTATTTTCATATAATTATTTGAACACAATTTTCTTTATAATTTACGTGTATTTATAATAATTCCTCTATATATTTTTTCTAATAAATCTAACATTTTATCCCAGTGAAGGATTCCATTGTCTGATTTTTTCCCTGAGTATGTCAAACAATTTTTAGTTTATTTGCATGCTTTCTATGTTTTAAGTAGACATTTTTGATAATATACTGTAGTAAACATGGATTCTGCTTCAGTTTCCTTATATTTGTTATTATTATTATTATCATAATCATATTTGGTGAGGAAGATTGTCCCTGAGCTAACATCTATTCCAATCTTCCTCTACTTTGTATGTGGGGCCGTGCCACAGCATGACTTGATGAGTGATGTGTAAGTCTGCACCCGGGATCTGAACCCACAAACCCCATGCTGCCGAAGTGGAGCACATGAACTTAACAGTTATTCCACTGGGCCAGTCCCACCTTACACTTATTACTTTTTGTAACTTGCATAAACTTTTGCTGCAGCATCTTCTCTAAAGTGTGCCTGTGATATTTCTGCTCAGTTTTTAAAAATTCTTACTGTTTATTTTTACTTTTTAGCCTGACTTCTTAGGGATTGCCCTTGTGATTGCATAGCTTAGTTGTGAAACAATGATTTTTCAATGGGCTTTATTCAAATGCTGTAAGTCAGTAGAGCTTCCATCTTCTACCATTTGGGGTGTGTGTGTGTCTGTTTTGGAGAATGCTCAAAACTTTGAAATCAGATCTCAAGTCTCCCTTCGTTTTTACCTTTTACTAGTATCATTTTTGTCTCTTCTACACATCTACACATTTTTTCCATCATCCAAGAATGCGTAGATCTAATGTCATTTCTTTCATCGTAGTCTTGGTTTCAGTACCTTCCCATTATATACAGCTGGCACTGTGCTTGACACAAAGGAGATCACAACCTTGGACTAAAAAAGGATGGTTTTCCTCATTAATTACCTAGGAAGTTTGACACATTGAACTGAAATACTAGTGGGCTATTTAGTGACCCATTCCCATCTGCTAATCAAGTCTGCCCCGTATCAGCAACATCGTTGATTTCTTTCAGCCTTATCCATATTGTACAAATTGCAATTCTTCTTGCTCTCTGGGCTGGGCTGGGCAGGAGGGCAGATGTGGGAGCAGTCCTAGGCAAGAAGATTAGAAGTTGGCTCCATTTTTACTTGAATCTCTAGTCAGTTTTCCAATAATAAATACTTCACAAATTATCGTTAACCTTCGATCAGTTTTCAGAGCCCTGAAACTGTCATTGTTTCAATGTGCCCTCTTCATTTAGTCATAATACATTTTTATAATGTATCCCGTGTGTAACGTTATATTGTAAATTGAAAGACTCTATAAAATAAGAAAGAATTAACTTCATTTGTTGTTACCAAATCCTAATTAGTATAAAAGTTTTTAATTGACTTCTAGTAAAATGTCTTTTCTCATAGAATTTTTTGAACTCCTTGAGTGTTTTTTCATGGATTGGACTCTCCCAAAGAACCAATAATAATTCATGGGTGTGGTCAAATGGCTCAACTTTCTCTTCCAAACTGTAAGTTTCTTGAAAACTCATATTTTACCTTGAAGGAATTAATCTTAGAAAGAAAAAAAAGAAATACACAAGTAATTATATAAACACAATTATTTAAGTGTTTCCACAGAAAAATATATGGGAAATATTCAGATTTAGCTATGGGGCTATTGGTCTAAATGTGTTGTTTATTGATTAAAATAGAAAGTTATAGATTACCAATATTAATGATGTATTATTCTTTGTATTTCAGGTTCCCAATATCTTTAGATAGGGACAATAACTGTACATATTTGAATTATCAGAAAAACACACTTTCTTCTGCATCATGTTTGGAAATAAGAATGTATGTTTGTAAGCACCAGGCAGTTTAGCTTACCTAAATTTGATATACTGCTCTTTCACCATCAATAAGGAGCATATTTGTAGTTTCTTCAAAAGCCATAAATTATTTTCTTAGAATTATTTAAGATACTATATTTTAGAGCAGGTTTGGGTTCATAGCAAAATTAAGAGGAAGGTACAGAGATTTCCCTTATCCCTCCTGGCCCCACACATACATAGCCTCCCCCATTATCAACATCACTGACCAGAGTGGACAGTTGTTACCAAGGATGAATCCACATTAATGCATCAAAATCACCTAAAGTCCATAGTTTGCCTGAGGCTTCACTTTTGGATTTGTAGAATTATTTTTAAATCTTTGTGTATATTAATTTTTAAAATATATACCCAGGTACATATTATCAATTTCTTAAGCTTTTGCAATTTATTAAAATAAATCATGTATAAATTGCAAATAATAACATCAAGAACTGTTATTTCTATCTTCAGTAAGTTGAGTAATTCCACTCATATTTTCAAATTAATTGATTTATTCTACCTTACCTGAGGGTGCAAGGTAAGGTGTATAAGTCACAGTCAAGGAGACAGAAATCAAAGGAAGATTTATGTAAATAATTATTTACTATTTGTAAGAAATTACCTACTAAGAGAGGATAAAAGAAAATTACAAAGAATACCTTCAGGTTAAAGGAGAGCACCCAAGGAAGGAGTCACTTTGCAGCCAGATCTATTCCCTGAGGATGGGTTTTAGACATCACTGAAGACGTTGTGGCTGCAGGCAACTTCATGGCAGACACGTTCACTGGAGCGCCCTGGAACAGAGTAGTTCCTCAGTCAGCAGGCTGAAATTGGTGAGGATGGATCTCAGTCTGTGACAGGCAAGCAAGATGACCTCCTTGCCAGATTGTCAGCAGGCAGAGACTGGAGGGCAGGGAATTATGAATGGGACTGGACACAAAAACTTGCTGGAGAGTGAATATCACAGGACTTCCTGCGTGCATGCAGCTGGCAACCACACTGTAGTAGCCAAAGTAGAGAAAATTCCATGAAACCATGAAGAAGAGCTGTTTCTCCTGCAGTGCCTGTCCAGTGCCTTTTACTGACAAAACTTAACATCACGCGAGCTGACAAGGGAGAAGAGTTTATAAGATATACTCTATTATCTCAAAAAAGGGCAATGAAGGATAGATTTGGAGCTGAGTTTAATAAATTAATTGGCCCTCAAGGTTACTACGCAACAACCGCAAGCTTGCTGTATAAGAGCCATTTGGATCTGCCCAACTTCCTCAGAGAATGGAACCAACATCTATCTTCTGAATCTGTTTTAGTATAGCATTCTCAATGATAGATTCATATTTTTGGTGGAAACTGGTATTTTCATTGGATAATAATAGTGTTCCTTGATTTTTTAATGTTTTCTTTTCCTCTACTGGATTTCAGATATTTTGGAAGGTATCTTGTTTTATTGAATTTTCTATCTCCCACCTTCTGTCAACGTTTATTACCATGCTTAGAAAAATAGTTTGAGGAAAAAAATAAAATGTTAAATAATTTTAAAAATCAAAAGTGTAAAAATATTTGTGGGGCTCAGACAAATATTCATTGAGAGAACTCAGAATAAACTTTAGTTATTTGACAATATTCAGACACAATTCCGCCATCATTCAATTACAAGAGGGAGAGATCCTATACATGATGATCATTTGCAAAATAAATTAACATTTCATATACATTTATCTCTTTGAATATGGACATTTTCTTTAGTTCTCTATATTTATTCCCATATTCATATTGAGAAAATATATAAATGTTAAAAATTAATATTATTCAATATGTAAATTGTAGCTATATGTAATTGCTAAAGTTGTGTTATAAACAAAGCAAGATGGCATTGACACTTAAAAATAATCATTTATTTCTCATTCTCCCATTTATCTTTTGGCTGGGTTTCAGTTGATGTAGGCTAGGTATACATGGGCTAACCTCCAGACCACAGATTCAGCTCAGATCCTTTTTATATATATTATTCTCAGAACAATGGGCTACCTTGTACATGATCTTCTATGGCAGAGATTAGTAGCTTTCAGGGGGCCAAGCAGAAATGTACTTCTTTATGCCTGGGTTCAGAACTCATAAGCCATCACTTTCCCACTCACATTGTCTTGTCAAAACAAGTCACAGGGCCAAACCTATCATTAATTCTCTACAAAATATACTCTTCTCATAGTGGTCAGAAGGAGAAAATGTAAGTTCACTGAAAAATAATCTAATGTACCATAACAGCTATGAGGACGTTTTTCCCATTATATTTTGTGAAATGTTTTTTTGTGAAAGGAAAATATTGGGAAATAGAAAAAATGTTAATATTTTCTTAACTTCTCATCTATGTTTTTGTTTCCTTTGTGCCAAAAGTTATTATGAGATAATTTTGTATAGTGGTAATAATTGTCATGTAGATACTTTCACCAGGGTCTTGGATAAATGCACATATGGGGAGCAAGCAGTATGGTATAAATTTCAAGGACATGGGCAATCAAGCCGGATGAGTGAGCATAAATTCTAATACAGCACATTCGCCCTGTGGTAAAAAGGACTGTTTTGTTCATGTCCAAGCTTGTGTGCCAAAGTTACTAATCTGAATATTTTGTTTACTGGTAATTAATGTTATGGATAAAATAAGACATTAACATTTAAAAAGTGTTGTTCTGCTCTACATTTTATGAGTCTCCTCCATTAATTACAACCATTATTTCTTTGTGGTTCCTCCCAAGACAACACGCAAAAATTTACATTTTCTTCCCCCAAAGACTGAATTGGGTAATGACCACACACTAATTGAATGAATCCAATGTTTTTCTCTACCTAAGGTTTATATTTTCCTTTTCTATTTCACTTTTTGTTCCAAACTACATATGTTAATGTTATCTAAGATTCCCTATCAAAGATTCTGGAATAAAATTCATAAACAACATTTGGTTACCACAGTAGCAAAATGCATAAATATCTACCAATAATAAAATGCCAGCAACAAATAGTGCGTCAAATTTTAGTAAGTACTATAGAGATCATGAGGTCCTCAGACATAAAACAACTGAAGATGTTTTCAAACTAAAGAAAAAAACACTTAAATCCAAAGGAATTTGAGCTTCTGTTTCTGGTATGTCTAAGCAAGCTGTTGAGGGACCCTACCACTGATAACAATTATAACCTCTGGACAAAGCACACACATGCATACACACATCAACCTGGAGGTTGAAGGCGGGGAAAGTCAGAGTTTTGGAAAAGTAGTTTGGACTTGGAAGAAGAAAATGACACAAAAAGAGTTACCTGCTATTACCATTTTTAGCCTGAAGGCAGACCAAGTTCAACTTCATTTATTTATCTAAAACTCCAATGAACACCTTGCAGTCTTTCCTCTCTAAAAAAAAGTAGAGGATAGAGCTCAGGACAACAACAGGGCTAAAAAATGACGGCAGGATCCCAGAAAGGAGAGTGCCAAAAAGTGGCAGTAATAAACGCAGTGTCCAAACTCTGCCCCAAATTCTGACACCAAAACAATCCTTGTGTGAACAAGACTGCACCTAAAGACAAATTATAGAGCTGAGACATGATTTGAGTTGTCAACCAAGAGATAGTTTTCAGTGCTAGTTCAGCTAATTTAATTGCCTTCTAAATAATAACACCAACACTCTTTAGAGAAATATAATCGAATCCAGAGTCTTCTCAAGAGTGTCGAGATTTAAAGTAACATAAAAAAAAAAAAAACAGAAAAATGTGACCTGTCTCAAGAAAAATGACAATAAAATAAGATCACTCTGAAGATGACCCAGATTTGTAAATTATCAGACAAATTTGTTTTGGAGAAAGATTAGCCCTGAGCTAACGTCTATGCCCATCTTCCTCTACTTTATATGTGGGATGCCTGCCACAGCATGGCTTCACAATCAGTGCTTAGGTCCACGCCCAGGATCCAAACCAGCAAACCCCAGGTCACTGAATCATAGCATGTCAACTTAACTGCTTCACCACTGGGCCAGTCCCCAGAGAAATGTTTTTAAAGTAGTATTTAAATGATGCTCAAGTATGTATAAGAAAATATGCTTACAATATACAAAATGCTAAATCTCAGCAAATGATATAAAACAGAACATTCGCAACAAAATGTAGGATGTGTAAAACACGCAATCCACTTTATAGGTTTCACAGCACAATGCATATGACAAAGAGCCATTTAACTTTGACAGAAATCAATAGAAATAATTCAATCTGAGGAAAAGGGCAAAAATACTTTTTAAAAAAGAGACCAATGTGATAACATCAAAAGTTATAGCACATGTAATTAGAATCTTACAAGGAGAGGAAAACACTTGGCAGAAAAATATTTGAAGAAATAATGGCTGAAACCATTCCAAATTTGTTGAAAAACAGAAAGTTAGATTCAGAAAGCCCAGTAATACCCAAACAAGATAAATAAAAACTAAGTAATAATGGATACATTATGGTCAAACTTCTGAAAGTGATAGAAAATCTTGAAAGCAACTAGAGAATAATGACACTTTATATGGCCATAAATTTATTAGAAATAATGAAAACAAGATAATAGAATATTCATCTCAAGAAAAAAAATAAAACCTGTCAACCCAGAATTCTATGTCAATGATATCTTTCAAGAATGGAAATAAATTAAAACATTTTAAAAAAATTACTAGGAACATCTATCACCAGCAGTCCTGCATTACAAGAAATGCTAAATGAAGGAAATTCTTCAGGCTTATGAATAATAGTACCCAAAGGAAAACTGGGTATTTGAGAAGGTAAGAAGATCATGAAAAATTGTAAATATCTGGATAAATATTAAAGACTACTTTCTGTTGATTTCCTTACAGTATATATGACTATTTAAAGCAAAAATTGTAACATTGTCAGGGTTGACCCAGTGGTGTAGTGATCAAGCTCGTGTGCTCCACTTCGGTGGCCCAGGGTTCGCAGGTTCAGATCCTAGGTGCAGACCCATGCAGCACTCATCAAGCCATGCTGTTGTGGTGTCCCACATACAAAATAGAGGAAGGAGGGCACAGGTGTTAGCTCAGGGCCAGTCTTCCTCAAAAAAAAAAAAAATTTAACATCGTCTTCCAGTGTTTCCAATGCCCATAAGATGTAATACATATGAAACTATACCATAATGGATAGGGTATGTGTTAAATAAAGCTGTATGGTACAAGATTTTTAAGTTGTACAAAATTAGCTTTAACCAGACTGAGAAAATTTAAGGGTGTATACTGTAATTTTTAGAACAACCACTGAAAATATAATGCAAACAGGTAATGCCTAGAAGGCAATATATTAATTGAATGGAGTGGCAAAAAATTCAGATAACCTCAAGAAAGCAGGAACAGAGGGCACTAAGATAAAACAAATTATAGGTCTCAAAGTAGCTAACTTTGGAATTAACACTTGTGTGATATAAAAGGATAAAATTAATTAAGAAAAGAGTTCATCCATTCCCAAATTCTTATTCTGTTTATTCTTCAGCTTAAAATATGTATCGCCATGATTAAGCTAATGTTCCTCCAACAGATTCAGCTTAAGGTTGCCTTCCCCTGAAATGGATGTAGATGTCCAGACCACAAAAAATTGCATTTTTAAAAATCTCATGTTACATATTTTTAAATCTCCAAATATTCATTAGCACATAAAGAATTATCAAAATACTAGTCTCTCATCCACATCATCATCATCATCATCATCATCAAACAAAAATTTCTCACCCTTGGAGTTTATCTTAGGCAAAATTATTTTCCCAGAGCTCAGGGATCATTGTTGCAAAGATAATGGCAGACCAAATGATATCTGAACAAAGGAAAACATTCGGACAACATTTTCTGGGTCACTGCTTTTTTTGTTTTGTTTTGTTTTTGAATGCTAATTGTCCACTTTGCCTGATAGATGAGATTATACATCTTGGGAAAATCTCCTTTAGACAATTACATATGACAGTATATTTATAGCAGGAATAAAATTAAACTTCTACAATTGTCTCCTCTTAGATATGTTGCCTCTTTACAAAGTTTAGAAATGTGAAATGTCTTCAATTCAATTAACCAGGTTTTATTTGAAGTACCTTACTTGTACTTTCAAAATCCATGAATTTTCCTGCTCCCTTTTATCTCTGTGTGTCTGGAACTCTGATAGTACATTGACTGTGGCTCATTTCTACCTTCGCTCTGAATTGGCAATTTTAGTCCTATCTGACATTGGCTGCTTTGATTGCCCTTTGTCTTGGAATATTTGGGTCTAAGAAATCTGTGTTCTAACGAAGGTTTTCACACCTCTTTCATAATTTTTGTAACTGGAAAAGTCATATTTACCATATTCCTAAACTGAAACCAACACTGATGCTTATAATGTACTCTAGAAACATGATTTGGTAGCCTAATAGCTAAGATTCGGTGCTCTCAACTCCACAGTCCAGGTTTCTTTTCCTGTGGCACTAACAAAAAGAATGTATCATCAGGCATGACTCCACCATGTGTTCCTCATACTGTCCTTTCACACCTTTTGAATTGTCTATGCCTTGTTAGCAATTATTTCTGGGATATGTATATAGTTGGACAGTTCAGACATGAAATAGTAAGAGGCACGTTCATGGTTTTTTGTAGTCTGTTTCTCTCTGATACAAGAAGCCGCAATGTTCCACACAGAAGCTACTCCATGAAACTTTGTCCAGGAGTGAAGGTGATGTGGGTGAAGATTTCTACGGCACAAGTTGAAATAAAGCTTTCTTGCTGTAGATATAGATTTTTGTTGTTCTAAGCCTTCAATATTTTAAGATTATTTGTTACTGCAGGATAACCTCACCCATCTTGACTAATATAATGGTTTTGAGAGCTTTATTTGCTTCTTATTTCTTTTTGCTTCCTGGCCAAGATAACTGAGTTTCCCTAATGGAATTTCTCAATAGCTTTCCATGCAGTAATTTTTAATTTACTATAGTACCCCCAATTTTCGCACAGGACCTCCACATGGCTTTTAAAGATAAAGGCATAGCCAGGCTGGTAGGACATTATAATATGGGCACATTTTGGCTATTTGAATATAAAAATTAAAAATAAATTATTAAATAAAATTTTTCCACTTAAAAATATTACTCCTTTATTGGATCAAGTTAAACAGATTTAGCATATATGGCTATATCACTTACTATGCCAAATCAATTGAAATAATAGGAAAAATACCTATAAAATAATCAATTCTTACCAGACCCTGAAAATAGTATCAAATGAATAAAAAAAAAATTGTGAAATTATTTGCATGATAAAACAAATGCAATGGGGTTCACAGAAAATTAGGTTATAAATTAAAAAGAAGTTATCAATTATATCATTTAAAGAGCAAATATAGCAAATAAAACAAAATAAGAGATATAAGATCAGCTTAAAGGTAACAGGTAATAAGAGTAGTTGGATGCTTAGGGCCACTGTCAGAGCACCAAAATTAAAGACTTTCGTTAAATTCTTCAATTTTCCATAAAGATGATCTATGAAGCCTACTTTGAACCTCAAAAAATAAAAAGCAATAGATTTTTTCCCCGTTATTATGACTTAGAAAAAGGCACTCTGGAATGTAATTTTTGGCTTAAGAGATACTGGATTGTATGGTAAGTGTGGACAAGAGGATAGTGTACCACCAGTCATGACCACATGCAGGAGGTATGGAAATCCCAGAAGTCAGAATATAAGATATCCACATACATTGTCCAGCTACATGATTCCTCCCACAATTTCAACATTGCCAGAGATAAGCTTCTTTAAATATTATCTAAATTAGTTAACAAATTAATAGAACTACTATTTCATGATTGGAAACATTGCATAAATTTAAGCTCCAGTGATCAATAATAACAGACAAATAAAAATCAC